AGGAAGGTTAAAATAAAAGGAATTATACCAATGTAGTGGTAGTAAGTGACAAAACAAAAGCCACAGTAATTTTTACTCCAAAATATTTACTTACATAAAATAATAATTAGGTAAAAACACACACAGGCTGTTATATCTACTTCATCAACGTCACATCTGGGCCATCTCTAATGTTTCCTGTCATCATAACAACCCCAATAAACACCTTTCATGGCTACCTCTGACATGGAAGAAAAGTAGTGAGAGAAAACGATTTAGAACCTGTCCAGAAACAACCCTTAGCACCCTAGTCTCATGATGCCATCCTTCCAAATCTCGTCTACAGGAGCTTTCCGAGGCTACCTCAACCCTAACCCCTAGGTGCTAGTGTAGATCTGAAGTAATCTGATGGGTATTACCATTCCTATCAGATATACACACAGGTGCCTTGGAGAGTCTAAGTATATAGGTATAGAATGACTAGAATGGGGAAAAAGCGCCCCTTAGACCACATCAATTTTATTCTAGCAATACAATTTCTATGGAGCTAGGGGCAGTTTCTTGAACAGGGCAGTTGATTTCCTTCCACTATAGCATGTTTAAGGCTCAGGCATGGAATGATTACAAAGTAGATAGATTTACCTCAGTAGACAAAACATTTCATTAAAACATTGACGACATAATAGTTCATGTAACATTTAAGCTTTGTCTAGCTGCCAGAGTGCTGCTACTGTTGAGAAATGTCCCAAATAGCACCCTATTCCCTATATAGTGCACTACTTCTGACCAGGGCCCTTAAGGAATATAGGCCCTGGTGAGGGCACAACAGGGAATAGGGTGACATTTGGGATGAAAACAATCTCAACCTTTCTATAGGATTATAATGATCACTGGCTTTAAGTTAGTTACACAGTTTTATATTGTGGAGTTTCACCACAGGACATTATTATTACTCATGATGTTGATGCTGTAAACCTTAAAGCTGAAATTTCATAAAGCCAGATTTTTTTTTCATGATGAGTCTTATCCAAACTAATTTACACGTAGGAAAAATGGTAGAAACCCCAAGACGTTAAGAAAAAAACAACATAAAAATACAAATTTAAAAATCTTCCGACACATGACTACCCATGCTTTTTATTTTAAACAGTTTTACTTACATTTCTGAAACCTTAACTTTTTAGGTTGAACATTTTAATTTAAAAAAAAGCACAGTTATAAAATCAGCACCGATTCATATATAACTTTATTTAAAATGTAGAGATAGCTATTTCAACACTAAATATGCTGGATTTGGAGAAATTTATTTTCTGTGTATTAACATGCTGCTTGCTTGTCTCTGAGTCAGCACAGTGGTGGCACTACCAGAGAGAAAATTGCCTCGCTGTCCGTCGGGAGAGAAGTCTCTACAGATAGGGAGAAGGGTCCAAATCTTTGGGTAAGCTTCGGGACTTGTGTGACAGCCTAGTTCCTTGTTAAACACTGGGGGGATGCGTCCCAAATGGCACCCTATATAGTGCACTACTTTTGAGACGCACCCTGGGCCTCTTCACAGCAACTACAGGGGTCCTCAGTCAGACTGAATAGAAACACCGGACCCACACACAGTCGGATATGACGAAGAGACCTTCAAGAAACTATCCTGAAGCATTTACAACAGTGTGGGGTTATTTCTACTCGTATGAAGGAATCTGCTCTTGGAAAACGGTTGGGCCCTTTACTTGGATCAAGGGTTGGATGTGTGTAGCTACATCCATTACCATTACAGCTGATCTATTCAACAGGTCACCAACTGAACCTCCAGCAGTTGTCATCACAACCACAGAACCAACAGATTCTACTGACACGGGGGAAAGGAAAACTAAAAAACAGAAAATAGCATAAAGACCATGTCCATCCACTACTACCACAGCACAGCTAGCTAGCTTTCTACTAACAATCTGTTTATAAATTACTACACCACACCGGGTTACTCACTATACTAGCATAGAGACAGGGTTAGAACACATTTAAAAATGAAAGGTTCTTACATTAGAACTCATTCCATCTCCATTTGGAAGAAAAATTAAACATTCTAGAATGATGGAACTTTCTTCAGACTAAATGTCTCGAGGATACCTCTAGGTTTGAAACTGGTTTGCCACCAACTGAAAAGGGAAAAGCTTACCCAAGGATTATAAAAGTATTTTGTTTTCATTCAGTCCCATCTGAGCAAACAACACTGTGTGTGTGTGTGTGTGTGTGTGTGTGTGTGTGTGTGTGTTAGACCATGGAGTATAAACCAGAGAAAGAAGACTTCTGATTTGCATCTTAACTTCTCCATGAATACAAAATGCCTCTCCTCTTCATCTACAAAGACCAGTTTAAAACATGGACACTCCAAGGACCTGCAGAGAGAAAAGGTGTAATTACACATCTGTAAAAGCACTTAGCAACAACATGTCTGTCTTATGCATTACTATAGTGAGGTTGAGCAAACCGTCCAGATCTCGTCTTGACTCGACTATTGGAAGTCTGGAGAACTTCAGTATTTGATTTCGTGTTTGAATGTAGCGCCAGCTGTCACGCTTGTAATTGATTAGCTCTGAGTAGAAATTAAGCATTTCCTTGTTTTAGTCGGACAACATTTTAGTAGCCTATGCAGCGTTAGTTTAGTATCTTATGCATGCTAGCTTGTTGCATCACTAGACCACCGTACTCCACCCCTTTTTATCATCTTCCAGAGGAGAACTTCCCCAGGCTTTCCAACAGAAAACGTGAAAGGAATGTATTCAACCAAATGAGTCTTCCGCATTTAACCCAACCCCTCTGAATCAGAGAGGTGCGGGGGGCTGCCTTAATCGATGTCCACATCATCGGCGCCCGGGGAGCAGTTATTGGGGGCCGGCTCGTATATTCCAACCAGCAATCTTTCTGTTACTGGCCCAACACTCTTAACCGCTAGGCTACCTACTGCCTCAGAATGTGTAAAGCCTGGGCTTCCAAGGCTAATATTACTATAAAGCAGGGGTTGGAACCAAAATTATTTTCGAATAATTTAGTTCTGAACAGAACCATAATATTTTTTGTTACGTTCCACTGTTCTGACTAGCAAAATCAAGTTCTGAACCGGTTCGAAACCAAAAATAAATTAACGGTTTATATTGTTCCTTTCTGAAATATATTTATATATATATATTTTTTTACATATAGCGCCACATTAAATTACATCACCAATCATGCAGTTCGGATAGAGCAGCTTGCTATGGAGCAGACAAGCTATAGATCAGTGAGTTGTTTACATGCGTGATGGAAAGACAAGTGTCGGGCGCGAGATGCAACTGAAATTTTGTGGGTGAGGAGAGAGCGAGAGAGGGTGGAGGAGGTTTGGCTTGAAGCGCTGGGCATCTTGTTATGACATGCATTATCTGAATTAGGCCTACAGAGGAGCGGCTTCTATGAAGGAAATGTGAATGTCTTTGAACTGCCGAGAGTTGGCTTAACGTTGGACCAGAGCTAGCTGGCTAACAAGCTTGTGTACAGAGCGGCACCAGAAATAAATTAAAAACACGTCTTACATTTCTGTAGTTAATAAATCCAATGTGAAACGTGATAACTACAGTATCCTTAACTAGCATTGAAAAAGTGTATCCATTCTTCTCTAATTAAAACATTTCTGAACCACGCTTGTAACGTCAGTAGCCTACTGTAGCCTACGCTTTGGAGGGGCAGGTAGGGAAAGGGACATACCTAGTCAGTTGTACAACAATGCATTCAACTGAAATGTGTCTTCCACATTTAACCCAACCCCTCTGAATCAGAGAGGTGCGGAGGGCTGCCTTAAATCGACATCCACGTCTTCGGTGCCCAGGGAACAGGGGGTGAACTGCCTTGCTCAGGGGCAGAACAACAGATTTTTACCTTGTCAGCAACCTTTCGGTTACTGGCACAATGCTCCTACTAGCCAGCCTACACACGCAATTATTTGCAGCTGGCAGGCAGACACTGGAAGAAGTTGAGTGACGGAGTGAGTTTTTAACCGGTTCTCATGCTTTTAAAATAACGGTTCTGTTCCGGAACAGTATAGATCATTCCCAGTTCTGATTCTGTTCCCTGAGCTAGGGCAAAAAACAAAACGTACACCCCTTGGGGTCCTGAGGACCGAGTTTGGGAAACCCTGCTATAGTGGATCGCCCGGACCGCATTTTACGCTCATAAACCATGTCCTGGGACCTTCTAAGACGTTAACTATTTGTTTACAATTTGTTCAGTCATGTTACCTCATTAGCTAGCTAACAACCTGGTAACTTTACAATAAATCCAAACATTTGGGGGCAAAGAAAGCAAGGAAAAGGAATAGCTTCTTCAGGAGATCAACGATCACAGCAATGAATCTCTTGCATGTCATCACAAACCTGACATTTTAAAGAGATAGAAAATTGTACACTATGTAATGCATCTCAATAGGAAAATGGTGCTTTTACACAATGTAGAAAACAAATATTCTACAAATGACTTCGGAATTTCAATGACAGGTATTCATATCAACATTTGAGCTCTCTTTACATTTTAGTTTATTTTTATTTTTGAGCTTACGGCACATGGTTTGTTGGTTAAGGGCTTGTAAGTAAGCATTTCACATAAAGGTCTACACCTGTTGTACACCATGTGACAAATACAATTTGATATTCCCTGGCGGTCTCCCGTCTCAGTACTAACCAGGCCGATCCCGAACAGCCGTGTTTAGGGTGATGGCCACAAACGTAGTGGCGCCTCAGCAGAGGTGCAGTGCTCGTTACCTGTTCGTTTCTAGGGCACAATATGTGCTTTAAACATAGCTAGAATTCATATAGGCTGTATCTAAATCAAAAAAATTAAAAAGGATTTTCTGGTGCTCCTAAATTTCATGTGTTGTCCTAACTTTAAGTTGGGCGCACCAGTACTACCAATGAAAATGTTTAATTTAGAGCCGTGTACGTATAAGGAAGAGTATTACTACACAGTAATAATGGTGGAGTATAAGAGAAGAGGGAGTTACTTACAGACTCGTCCATGATAGAACCAGGGTCAAAGTAGTCTGGTTTCAGCTCGGATCTCTCTCTCCTGTTCTTAGAGGGGGGCTGGAGAAAGGAGAGAGAAACAAATATGAAATTATTTAAATTCTGCTTATATGAGCGGATTGTGCTAATTATACACTGAGCAAAAAATGTTACGCAACATGCAACAATTTCAAAGATTTTACTGAGTTACAGTTCATATAAGGAAATCTGTCAATTTAAATACATTCATTAGGCCCTAATCTATGTATTTCACATGACTGGGAAAACAGATATGCATTTGTTGGTGACAAACACCTTTACAAAAAAAAGGTAGAGGCGTGGATCAGAAAACCAGTCAGTATCTGGTGTGACCACCATTTGCCTCATGCAGCGTGACATCGCCGTCACATAGAGTTGACCAGGCTGTTGATTGTGAGCTTTGGAATGTTGTTCCACTCCTCTTCAACGGCTGTGCAAAGTTGCTGGATATTGGCGGGAACTGGAACACGCTGTCGTACACGTCGATCCAGAGCATACCAAACATGCTCAATGGGTGACATGTCTGGTGAGTATTCAGCTCATGGAAGAACTGGGACATTTCTAGCTTCAAGGAATTGTGTACAGATCCATGCGACATGCATTATCATGCTGAAACATGAGGTGATGGCGGCGGATGAATGGCACGACAATGGGCCTCAGGATCTAGTTCCTCTGTGGAGATGGGAGAACCTTCCAGAAGGTCATCCATCTCTGCAGCACTCCACCAATCAGGCCTTTATGGTAGAGTGGCCAGACGGAAGCTACTCCTTAGTAAAAAGGCACATGACAGCCCGCTTGGAGTTTGCCAAAAAGGCACCTAAAGGACTCTCAGACCATGACAAACAAGATTCTCTGGTCTGATGAAACCAATATTGAACACTTGGCCTGAATGCCAAGCGTCGTGTCTGGAGGAAACCTGGCACCATCCCTACGGTGAAGCATGGTGGTGGCAGCATCATGCTGTGGGGATGTTTTTCAGGGGCAGGGGACTGGGAGACTAATCAGGATCGAGGGAAAGATGAACAGAGCAAAGTAGCGAGATCCTTGATGAAAACCGGCTCCAGAGTGCTCAGGACCTCAGACTGGGGCGAAGGTTCACCTTCCAACAGGACAACAACCCTAAGCGCACACAGCCAAGACAACACAGGAGTGGCTTCGGGACAAGTCTCTGAATGTCCTCGAGTGGCCCAGCCAGAGCACGGACTTGAACACGATCAAACATCTCTGGAGAGACCTGAAAATAGCTGTGCAGCGTAGCTCCCCATCTAACCTGACAGAGCTTGAGAGGATCTGCAGAGAAGAATGGGAGAAACTCCCCAAATACAGGTGTGCCAAGCTTGTAGCGTCATACCCAAGAATCTAGGCTGTAATCGCTGCCAAAGGTGCTTCAACAAAGTACTGAGTAAAGGGTCTGAATACTTAAATGTCATCCGTTTTTTATTTTTAATACATTTGCAAAGATTTCTAAAAACCTGTTTTTGCTTTGTCATTATGGGGTATTGATGAGTAGATTGATGAGGGGGAAAACAATTTAATCCATTTTAGAATAAGGCTGTAACAAAATGTGGAAAAAGTGAAGGGGTCTGAATACTTTCCGAATGCATTGCATCTCTGTGCATTCAAATTGCCATCGATAAAATTCAATTGTGTTCGTTGTCCGTGGCTTATGCCTGCCCATACCATAACCTCACCTCCACCATGGGGCACTCTGTTCACAACGTTGACATCAGTAAACCGCTCGCCCACACGACGCCATACATGCTGACTGCCATCTGCCCGGTACATTTGAAACTGGGATTCATCCATGAAGAGTACACTTCTCCAGCGTGCCAGTGGCCATCGAAGGTGAGCATTTGCCCACTGAAGTTGGTTACGACTTCCAAAATCTCTAAAGCCGGGTGTACACTTCACAATTTTGGCCCCGGTTGAGCTGTTCCAGACAAGTTTTTGAGATCAGAGACAAAATCCCCATGTCGTTGCCTACTCGGGGTGCGCGGCCGACACCGACGCTCGTTTAATGTGAGCAGGTCAATCTGAGGGCTACCGATCTCGTCTTTGAGCAGTCCCAGACGTCCAAATATTTTCAAACGTTTTGATTTTATCGGCACAAAATCTGCAATGCTCTTGTAGTGTGAGACGTGCAACGCCAATGAGAGCTGGCCAGAGAAGCCGCCAGTGAGATGACCTTGTTTCGCATCACCCATAACGTGTAGACTCAAGAAGGAGCGATCACTACTACTAGTATGCGTCTGTACGTGCCTTTAACCAAAGCGTCAAATAGTTACAGCTCTGAAGTTCACAAGCAATGTTATTCAATTCATAATGTTGGCTATATATTTCAACTCTGTATGGCAAGCGTGAATGTCTGATTGAAAACGTTTGAGGCTGCTTTGAGCCACAGCTCGTTTTAAATACTTTAAATCTAAATCACATCATTGTTTTGGCGAGACAGCGTGGTATGGAGAAAGCCTTTACATGTTGGGTTTATATTTTTGTTCAGTATATTTAGTGTTTCTTGACAGAGATCTTTGTGGATCACCACATAATTCACTGTAAAAGGTTTTATAAACCAAAAGCCACATATGCAGTAAAAGGTCAAAGGTCTCACCAGGTCGATGTCCATGGTGTCAAAGTCCATGCCCTCGTTGAGGTCTTCCATGCGACCCTCTGATGACATCATCACGTCCTCTACGATAGGCTCCTCATCCTCCTCCATCAGTCCTGTACCACGCCGACTACACACACACCATAATTAGTACATTCAAACGACCATCAACATAGAGTAGCTGTACATCAACAACTGGTTAGTCCACAAACAGATATGTAAAGGAAGTAGCTCTTACATGACCTGTTGCAGGTTGGTCCTGAGCTCAGGGTTAGGGAGGGGTGTATGTGTGTGCTCTTACATGGCCTGCTGCAGGTTGGTCCTGAGCTCAGGGTTAGGGAGGGGTGTATGTGTGTGTGTGCTCTTACATGGCCTGCTGCAGGTTGGTCCTGAGCTCAGGGTTAGGGAGGGGTGTGTGTGTGTGTGTGCTCTTACATGGCCTGCTGCAGGTTGGTCCTGAGCTCAGGGTTAGGGAGGGGTGTATGTGTGTGCTCTTACATGGCCTGCTGCAGGTTGGTCCTGAGCTCAGGGTTAGGGAGGGGTGTATGTGTGTGCTCTTACATGGCCTGCTGCAGGTTGGTCCTGAGCTCAGGGTTAGGGAGGGGTGTATGTGTGTGTGTGCTCTTACATGGCCTGCTGCAGGTTGGTCCTGAGCTCAGGGTTAGGGAGGGGTGTGTGTGTGTGTGTGCTCTTACATGGCCTGCTGCAGGTTGGTCCTGAGCTCAGGGTTAGGGAGGGGTGTGTGTGTGTGTGTGCTCTTACATGGCCTGCTGCAGGTTGGTCCTGAGCTCAGGGTTAGGGAGGGGTGTGTGTGTGTGTGTGTGTGCTCTTACATGGCCTGCTGCAGGTTGGTCCTGAGCTCAGGGTTAGGGAGGGGTGTGTGTGTGTGTGCTCTTACATGGCCTGCTGCAGGTTGGTCCTGAGCTCAGGGTTAGGGAGGGGTGTGTGTGTGTGTGTGTGTGTGCTCTTACATGGCCTGCTGCAGGTTGGTCCTGAGCTCAGGGTTAGGGAGGGGTGTGTGTGTGTGTGCTCTTACATGGCCTGCTGCAGGTTGGTCCTGAGCTCAGGGTTAGGGAGGGGTGAGTGTGTGTGTGCTCTTACATGGCCTGCTGCAGGTTGGTCCTGAGCTCAGGGTTAGGGAGGGGTGAGTGTGTGTGTGCTCTTACATGGCCTGCTGCAGGTTGGTCCTGAGCTCAGGGTTAGGGAGGGGTGAGTGTGTGTGTGCTCTTACATGGCCTGCTGCAGGTTGGTCCTGAGCTCAGGGTTAGGGAGGGGTGTGTGTGTGTGTGTGCTCTTACATGGCCTGCTGCAGGTTGGTCCTGAGCTCAGGGTTAGGGAGGGGTGTGTGTGTGTGTGTGTGCTCTTACATGGCCTGCTGCAGGTTGGTCCTGAGCTCAGGGTTAGGGAGGGGTGTGTGTGTGTGTGTGTGTGTTCTTACATGGCCTGCTGCAGGTTGGTCCTGAGCTCGGGGTTAGGGAGGGATGGGGTGTGTGTGTGTGTGTGTGTGTTCTTACATGGCCTGCTGCAGGTTGGTCCTGAGCTTGGCGTAGTTCATGGCTCTCTCCTGCTGCTGACGAACTTCCTCCTGCTGCCTCTGAGCCAGCATCCACGTCACCTGGGTACTACAAACACACCACGACAATAGGTTAGACAACCACACTGGTGCTTCAGGTAGGTACATGTCAAGAGAGAGACAGACCGGAGGAGAGAGAATCTTACTTGTAGTCGATGGGTGTCTGGTGGAGTTGTGGGGTCTGGGGGAGTGTGTGTGGGTGAGGCTGCTGCTGGGAGTCTGAGGGGAGGGCGTACACTCCCATGTAGCTGTCGTCTCTCCCCCGTTTGGCCTCCTCCCTCATGTCCCCCGGTCCTCTCATCATGGTGGAGGTGAGGTGGGGGGAGGGCATCATCACTGGAGTCTGCATGGTCTGGTGTTGCCACGACACATCTGTACTGCCGCTACTGCTCTCCTCAGCTAGAGAACACACACCGTTAAACACACACACACACACACACACACACCGTTAAACACACATGTGCTGCCACAACACATCTGTACTGCCGCTACTGCTCTCCTCAGCTAGAGAACACACACCGTTAAACACACACACACACCGTTAACACACACACAAACACACTGTTAAACACACACACACAAACACACCGTTAAACACACACGTGCTGCCACAACACATCTGTACTGCCGCTACTGCTCTCCTCAGCTAGAGAACACACACACACCGCTACACACAGCTGCACACACACACACCGTAACACAATTCTGAAAGGGTTGGATGACTAAGAGATGCAGTGAGCACTTCCCAACCAGGCTAGGTGATTTCAGCCATAGAGCCTACATCATCTACCTACCAGGGGTAACAGTGTTTACAGTAGGAGATGACCTCAGACTGGGACAGATAGATACTTTTGATCCTCTCTAACATGGCCTGAACGCCATGAAGTGACTACAGTCTGACTTCCAGACTCTGGTCCTGTAGCTACCTTCAGGCAGTTTCCTCTTGGCTGCAGCGACGGTAGCGGTGGGAGTAGCAGCCTTGGTCTTCTTGGATCTGACCGACGACCCTCTGGAGGAGTAGCCAGAGACCACAGACATGTTGTCATCATCTCCGCCAGCCTGGAGGGAGTTCCTGTAGGAGATGAGAGGCAGCCAGCAGTCTTCTCTCTGTAGGGCCATCTGGAAGGTCATGAACCTCTCCAGATACATGTGACTACAAGGGAGAGAGGAGAGATGTTACACGCATATACTGAACAAAAATATAAAACGCAACATGTTAAGTGTTGGTCCCATGTTTCATGAGCTGAAATAAAAGATACCGGAACAAAAAGCGTATTTCTCTAAAATGTTGTGCACAAATTTGTTTACATCCCTCTTAGTGAACATTTCTCCTTTGCAAAAATAATCCATCCACCTGACAGGTGTGGCATATCAAGAAGCTGATTAAACAGCATGATCATTACACAGGTGCACCTTGTGCTGGGGACAATAAAAGGCCACTCTAAAACGTGCAGTTTTGTCACACAACACAATGCCACGTCTCAAGTTTTGATGGAGCGTGCAATTGGCATGCTGAATGCAGGAATGTCCACCAGAGCTGTTGCCAAATACATTTCTTGAACATAAGCTGCCTCCAACGCAGTTTTAGAGAATTTGGCAGTACATTCAACCGGCCTCACAACCGCAGACCATGTGTAACCACGCCAGCCCAGGACCTCCACATCCGGCTTCTTCACCAGCCGGATCGTTAGAGACCAGCCTCCCAAACAGCTGATGAAACTGAGGAGTCTTTCTGTCTGTAATAAAGCCCTTGTGGGGAAAAACTCATTCTGATTGGCTGGGTTTGGCTCCTCAGTGGGTGGGCCTATGCCCAGTCATGTGAAATCCATAGATTAGGCCTAATTAAATTATTTCAATTGACTGATTTCCTTACATGAACTGTTACTCAGTAAAATTGTTGGAATTGTTGCATTTTATTTTTGTTCAGTATACACACACCTTACAGGCATGTACACACACACACTACTAACATAAAGTCATCTGGGAGGTCCTTAAGGTCATGTGTCTGGGAGGGGAGACAGTGCTCTTGTCTTGCTTCATGACATCATACAAATGACATATCATACTAGTCATCACTTCCAGACATCAGTTATCACACACAGGTACATGTGTCTGATTAGGAGAGGCAGGTGTACTTACACAGTCCTCTTGTCCTGCCTCATTAGTTTGGAGGAAAACTCAGAGAGGATGTCTAGGAAGGCCAGGTGAAGAGGAGGGTTGCCCTCTCCCTGGGGACTGGGCTCCTTAAACGCAAACTCTATACCATCCCTGGAGTGAGACAAGAGGGAGAGAGGGGTGGGAGAGGGTGAGAGGGTAGAGGGGTGGGAGAGAGGAGAGAGGGAGAGAGAGACAATTTTTGTTCAGAAAAATGGGAGGTATCTAGCAGCACATGTAGATACACACATTAATGTGGTCCTCTGTAGCTCAGCTGGTAGAGCACGGCGCTTGTAACGCCAAGGTAGTGGGTTCGATCCCCGGGACCACCCATACACAAAAATGTATGCACGCATGACTGTAAGTCGCTTTGGATAAAAGCGTCTGCTAAATGGCATATTATTATTATTATTATTATTAACTAGTCCTATGTACAGCTCACATCCATCATATGCTAATCATGTTCAATAGTTTTAATCATATTAAAAAGCTGGAGTATTTCTTATCTGCTGGTTATTTAAGTCTTGTGTACAATAAAGCTATCAAGAGAAAGAGAGATCAGAAGAGGACACTGACTTGTGCAGCATGGCGATAGCATCTCGTGTTTTGACCTGGTCCAGACCAAAGGTGAGAGAGAAACGTCTGGCCAACTCCTTGATCCCACAGAACGCTGAGGACGAGCGGTCAAAACCTGTCCCCAACTCTGACAACATCTCATTGAACAACTGCAGGAGAGAGGAAGAGAGAGGAAGAGGAAGAGAGAGGAAGGGAGGGATGGGTGAATAAAGAGATGGTTCTTTTAATCTGATTTTATTCCAAAAAGTCTGGCCTGCGGTCTGGAGATCTGGAATAAAGCTACAACCAAGACCTAGCTTGACTAAAACAACAGTGAGTGTGTGGGTGTAACCCACCTGTTGTAGACTGAGGATGAGGGGTGTGTGTGTGTGTGTGTGTGTGTGTAACCCACCTGTTGTAGACTGAGGATGAGGGTTGTGTGTGTGTGTGTGTGTAACCCACCTGTTGTAGACTGAGGATGAGGGTTGTGTGTGTGTGTGTGTGGGTGTAACCCACCTGTTGTAGACTGAGGATGAGGGTTGTGTGTGTGTGTGTGTGTGTGTGTGTGTGTGTGTGTGTGTGTGTGTGTGTGTGTAACCCACCTGTTGTAGACTGAGGATGAGGGTCTTGGCACATTGGATCTTGTCTATCTGTCTGGTCTTAGACATGGTCTCCTTGATGATGTCACCATAGTCATTATAATACTAGAAAGAGAGAGGAAGACTGTTCAGCCACAAGTCAGTCTCTTACAGGAGACAAAACAGGACTTCTGATCATTTGCAACCAAGCAGTACATGGGAATGACTCTGGTAATGATCTGGTGTGGAGGTTAAATGAGTGTCATAGGCAAGAAGAGGTAATAACCATAGAAATAGAATCTATAGAACGGGCCTACCCGTTCAAGTCAACGATGGGATAATGTGTGGACTGACAACCATTGCGAGTGTACCCATGAGTACCCATCAGTCAAATTGCCAGGGTTCGAGGTTCCAAGTCCTTTCTATAGATTATATTTCTATGGTCATAACTGGGTAAAGACAGACAGGTGAGTGTTTCTCCATTCTTACCCTCATGTACTGTTTAAAGATGTCAGTAACAGACAGGTATTTAAAGGTAGGAGGCCATTCTTACCCTCATGTACTGTTTAAAGATGTCAGTAACAGACAGGTATTTAAAGGTAGGAGGCCATTCTTACCCTCATGTACTGTTTAAAGATGTCAGTAACAGACAGGTATTTAAAGGTAGGAGGCCATTCTTACCCTCATGTACTGTTTAAAGATGTCAGTAACAGACAGGTATTTAAAGGTAGGAGGCCATTCTTACCCTCATGTACTGTTTAAAGATGTCAGTAACAGACAGGTATTTAAAGGTAGGAGGCCATTCTTACCCTCATGTACTGTTTAAAGATGTCAGTAACAGACAGGTATTTAAAGGTAGGAGGCCATTCTTACCCTCATGTACTGTTTAAAGATGTCAGTAACAGACAGGTATTTAAAGGTAGGAGGCCATTCTTACCCTCATGTACTGTTTAAAGATGTCAGTAACAGACAGGTATTTAAAGGTAGGAGGCCATTCTTACCCTCATGTACTGTTTAAAGATGTCAGTAACAGACAGGTATTTAAAGGTAGGAGGCCATTCTTACCCTCATGTACTGTTTAAAGATGTCAGCGCCAGTGTTCATCTCTACTACGTTATAGATGATGAGTTTACAGTAGGCCGCCAGGAGGTTACGTCTCTTATGAAGAGCTTCTATCTTCGCTGCCTCGTCATCCTGCTGGCCATCTGTAGAGATACAACATAACAGATAAATAGTTACACAGACAGTCACAGAGCTCTTATGAAGAGCTTCTATCTTCGCTGCCTCGTCATCCTGCTGGCCATCTGTAGAGATACAACATAACAGATAAATAGTTACAGACAGTCACAGAGCTCTTACGGAGAGCTTCTATCTTGCTGACCATTTCAAAAGGTAGAACCAGGTACACATACCACAGACCGGTACACATAGACAGGTACACATAGCACATAGACAGGTACACATAGCACAGACAGGTACACATAGCACAGACAGGTACACATAGCACAGACAGGTACACATAGCACAGACAGGTGCACATAGCCCATAGACAGGTACACATAGCACAGACAGGTACATATAGCACAGACAGGTACACATAGCACAGACAGGTACACATAGAGGTACACATAGCAGACAGGTGCACATAGCCCATAGACAGGTACACATAGCGAGGTACACAGACAGGTACACATAGCCCATAGACAGGTACACATAGCGAGGTACACAGACAGGTACACATAGCCCATAGACAGGTACACATAGCGAGGTACACATAGTCCATAGACAGGTACACATGGCGAGGTACACAGACACGTACATATAGCACAGACAGGTACACATACAGGGCCTCCTGTAGCTCAGTTGGTAGAGCATGGCGCTTGCAACGCCAGAGTTGTGGGCTGGATTCCCACGGGGGGCCAGTATGAAAAATGTATGCACTCACTAACTGTAAGTGGCTCTGGATAAGAGTGTCTGCTAAATGACTCAAATGTAAATGTACACATAGACAGGTACACATAGACAGGCACACATAGACAGGTACACATAGCACATAGACAGGTACACATAACATCACAGACAGTCACAGGGCCAGACAGTAGTGTAATTCCTTTAGCAGGGTCTTGTTGGTTAGCTATGGCCAAACGAGCTATTTTCAAGGGCAAATAAGCAATCCTACTGGAAAGGTGTGTGTAGCAGTGTGTGTAGCAGTGCGTGTAGCAGTGCGTGTACCAGTGCTGCCGCTGTCATCGTCCTGGTCTATGAAGACATGGTGCAGTATGAAGGACAGTAGTTCTGTCTGTAGAGAGTCGTCAGGACTGTAGACCAGAGGTTCCAGCTGCTCTCTGCCTCCTGATACCATCTGATGACTGAAGACTAGCAACACATCACACAGGATGGTGAACGCCTGGGGAGGGGGGGGGGGGAGACGGACAGTTGGTTATCAGTATTCTGCCTCCTTGGCCACGTCTTCCTCATCTCAATGGGGTTGCATGGGGATTCTGAGAATTTCATGAAAATAACCTGATTTAAATCACTAGGATGTAAATAGCTGCTACAGGACAGTACCTGTTCCTTGACGGTTGTGTTGACGTTGGTGAGGTAACGTTGACACATCAGACAGAACATCCTCATCTGTTTCCTCAGGCTCACCATGTCCTCCTACAAAACAATATTACGTGATCAAAACACATCCTCCTAGATTACATACACATGAGTGAACCATCAAAATACTTGCTGTATAAACCTTGACTAACTCCCAACTGCCTCCCCAATGCTATTTTCCTAGCTACCAAATAATACCCAACTGAATGAAAAGGCTCTGAGCTGCCAGCCAGGTGAGAGGGGAGTGTTACATACCTTTCTGTGGCTGACCTCTGAGACCTTTGCTAGGTGCCAAAGGATGACATAGTGGGTACACTGTAGAGCATGGACCACTATCTGCTCTGGCATGTCTCCGTTCTCAATGCCTGTGTTGAGCAGCTTGAAGTTACTGCTGAACAGATCCCACTGGGACAGGTCATGGGCACTGGGGGAGAGAGTTAAAAACCTCAGGAGCCAGTCCAAGAGAGAGAGGGAGAGAGAGAGAGGGGGGAAAGAGATGGTGGAGGAGAAAGGAGAGGGGGAACAGGAGAGGGGGGTTAGAGAGGAGAGAGGGGTTGGAGAGGAGAGAGGGGAGGGGGGTTGGAGAGGAGAGAGAGGAGGGGGGGGGGGGGGGGGGGGGTTGGAGAGGAGAGAGAGGAGGGGGGTTGGAGAGGAGAGAAGAGGAACAGGGAAGAAGAGGGAAGAAAGGAGAGGAAGGTTCTTTACTTGTGGAAGGCTGCGATTCTCTTGAGAGTAGACAGCACCTGGTAGGCATCATCTTCATCAGGCTCTTCACCCTGAACACAGAGATCAGTGTCAGTATCAACTACACAAACTGGCCCACTCCCCCTAATTGATGTAAAAGGAATAGACTGGTAGTAGAAACTCCCTCACTGGTCAAAACAGCTTTCTCTCCCTCTGAGCTCTCTCCTCCTCTCCCCATTATAGGAAGTCCTTTAACAGTCTGTTGAATGTCCACCAGTTCATTCTCCCGTCCCTCCTTACTCATCACTCCCCCTCCATCCTCCTCCCCCTCTCACCTCTTGTAAGAAGTCTTCCAGGAGTCTGTTGAATTTATCCACCATTTCGTCCAGCAGCTGTGACCTGGCGATGTCCACCCTGTTAAAGATGGTGAACTCCTCGTTGCTGAGAGCGTGGTAGGTCTTGGAGCACATCTCCAACACCTCTGTGTCGGTGTGCTTGTCCACGATCTCCCTGATCTGACGCAGCAACGCCTCCAAGTGCTAGAAGAAGAGAGGGCGGGAGTTGGGAAATATGTTTCAGAGACGTCTTGCAGTGTTATGCATTTGATATTTCACAACTTTTGTGCTGTCATTGTGCTGAACAGTGCTTTGAATCAGGTTAGTGTAGGGTTGGGGTTAGAGTTTGAATTAGACTATAGTATAGGGTTGGGGTTAGAGTTTGAATTAGACTATAGTGTAGGGTTGGGGTTAGAGTTTGAATTAGACTATAGTGTAGGGTTGGGGTTAGAGTTTGAATTAGACTATAGTGTAGGGTTGGGGTTAGAGTTTGAATTAGACTATAGTATAGGGTTGGGGTTAGAGTTTGAATTATACTATAGTGTAGGGTTGGGGTTAGAGTTTGAATTAGACTATAGTGTAGGGTTGGGGTTAGAGTTTGAATTAGACTATAGTATAGGGTTGGGGTTAGAGTTTGAATTAGACTATAGTATAGGGTTAGAGTTTGAATTAGACTATAGTATAGGGTTGGGGTTAGAGTTTGAATTAGACTATAGTATAGGGTTGGGGTTAGAGTTTGAATTAGACTATAGTGTAGGGTTGGGGTTAGAGTTTGAATTAGACTATAGTGTAGGGTTGGGGTTAGAGTTTGAATTAGACTATAGTATAGGGTTGGGGTTAGACCTTCTCCAGTCGTCCTGTGGTGTAGATATCCAGGTCAAAGAACTGAGGAAGCTGCAGCAGGTTGGTCACCTTCTCTGTATCTATGGAGTACTGAAACAAACAGAGAGACAGCACTCACACACAGTACTGCAGGCAGGGGAAACAGACTACACAGGTTAATTTGTAAGTAGCTCTAGATAAGAGTGTCTGCTAAATGTGTGGTCCCCTGTAGCTCAGCTGGTAGAGCACGGCGCTTGTAACGCCAAGGTAGTGGGTTCGATCCCCGGGACCACCCATACACAAAAATGTATGCACGCATGACTGTAAGTCGCTTTGGATAAAAGCGTCTGCTAAATGGCATATTATTATTTATTATTAAATGACTTAAATGTTAATTAGAGAGGGTGAAGTTGTAGTGTCCTACCTTGGCCAGCAGAGGGGGTAATGCCACAGCAAACAGCTCTGTCATCCTGGTCCTGTCATCTAGTTGGGTCTTCTTCTCCTTTGCTGTCATCACCTGGCGGGGGGGACAAACACCGTTGTAAATACAACCCATATATGTTTATTTATTTCCCTTTTGTACTTTCACTATTTGCACAGTTACAACACTGTACATAGCCATGACATTTGAAATGTCTATTCTTTTGGAACTTTTGTGAGTGTAATGTTTACTGTCCATTTCACTTTTGTTTATTATCTATTTCACTTGCTTTGGCAATGTAAAACATGTGTTTCCCATGCCAATATAGCCCATTGAATTGAGAGAGAGAGAGAGTTGCCGTTTCTCTGACCAGTCTAAAGAGTCTTACCCTCTTCCCAGTGCCGCGGCCTATGGGTGGGTGGCACTCTGCAGCCTGGCGTACCGTACACAGCATTATCTCTATGAGAGCTGTCTCCTGTCTGTCTGTCAGGGCTATAAAAAACACACACACACACACATTAGAGGCCAGGAATAGCGGATATCGGTCAGAAGTCAAGTATAGAGGTCAGAGATCATACCTTCCTCCCCTGGTACGGGATCATCCAGTAGCAGGCTGGTCATACACTCCCAGTCCTTCAGCAGGTCTGCCCCACTCTCCCACAGAGAGTCCACCAGGTACGCTGCATGCTCATGGAGCTGAGATACACACAGGCAGAGGCAGGGTGTGGGTGGGAGTATTTCTCCCAGTGAGTCTTGTAAGTATGCAGCATGTTCATAGAGGTAGAGACAGGGTCAGAGACAGTGTGTGTGTGTAGCGGTGTGTGTGTGCGTGTACCTCGCTCTCCAGGAAGAAGAAAACAGTCGTTTTGAGGAGGTTGGCGTTGGGGCTTTGTCTTCCTCTCCTCTTGGGGGCGCCCTCCTCTTCCGGCTCCCGCGTACTGAACAGTCTGAAGAGGAGAGAAGAGTCACTAGTATTAGATATAGAAAACGATATCAAATTACACTATATATACAGAAGTATGTGGACACCCCTTCAAATTAGTTGATTCAGCCATTTCAGCCACACCCGTTGTATTAAAATCGAGCACACAGCCATGCAATCTCCATATCAAACATGGGCAGTAGAATGGCCTTAATGAATAGCTCAGTGACTTTCAACGTGGCACCGTCATAGGATGTCACCTTTCCAACAAGTCAGTTCGTCAAATTTCTGCCCCGGTCAACTGTAGGTGCTGTTATTGTGAAGTGGAAACGTCTAGGAGCAACAACGGCTCAGCTACGGTGGTAGGCCACACAAGCTCACAGAAAGGGACTGCTGAGTACTCAAGCGCGTAGCGCGCAAAAATAGTCTGTCCTCGGTTGCAACACTCACTACTGAGTTCCAAACTGCCTCTGAAAAGCAACGTCAGCACAAGAACTGTTAGTTGGGAGCTTCATGAAATGGGTTTCCATGGCCGAGCAGCTTCACACAAGCCTAAGATCAACATGCGCAACGCTAAGCATATACATGGTTGTAAAGATGGGGAGAGGTCTGTCCGTAATAAAGAGATGCTCTGCTTTTTTGACACAACACTCCATAAAGCAAGTCCTGCAGGTTCTAGTTTTGTCTTATCTTGATTATTGTCCGGTCGAGTGCTGCAAGGAAAGGCCTAGTTAAGCTGCAGCTGGTCCAGAACAGAGCGGCACGTCTCGCTCTTCATTGTAATCAGAGGGCTGATATAAATACTATGCATGCCAGTCTCTCTTGGCTAAGAGTTGAGGAGAGACTGACTGCATCACTACTTTTTATAAGAAACATTAATGCGTGGAAAATCCCAAATTGTTTGCAGTCAACTTACACACAGCTCTGACACACACACTTACCCCACCAGACATGCCACCAGGGGTCTTTTCACAGTCCCCAAATCCAGAACAAATTCAAGAAAGCGTACAGTATTATAAAGAGCCATTTTTGCATGTAACTCCCTTCCATATCATATTGCTCAAGTTAACAGCAAACCTGGTTTAAAAAAAAACAGATAAAGCAACACCTCACAGCACAACGCCTCTCCCCTATTGGACCTAGATATTGTGTGTATGTATTGATATGTAGGCTACGTAGTTCTGTCCTTGAGCTGTTCTTGTCTATTATTGTTCTGTATTATGTCATGTTTCATGTTTTGTGTGGACCCGAGGAAGAGTAGCTGCTGCTTTTGGATCCTAGTAAAATATCAAATACCAAAGCTTCCGCTGGAGTGGTGTAAAGCTCACCGCCATTGGACACTGGAGCTGTGGAAACGCGTTCTCTGGAGTGATGAATCACACTTCACCATCTGGCAGTCCGACGAACAAATCTGGGTTTGGCGAATGCCATGAGAACGCTACCTGCCCCAATGCATAGTGCCAACTGTAAAGTTTGGTGGAGGAGGAATAATGGTCTGGGGCTGTTTTTCATGGTTCGGGCTAGGCCCCTTAGTTCCAGTGAAGGGAAATCTTAACGCTACAGCATACAATGACATTCTAGACGATACTGTGCTTCCAACTTTGTGGCAACAGTTTGGAGAATGCCCTTTCCTGTTTCAGCATGACAATGCCCCCGTGCACAAAGCAAGGTCCATACAGAAATGGTTTGTCGAGATCGGTGTGGAAGAACTTGACCGGCCTGCTCAGAGCCCTGACCTCAACCCAATCGAACACGTTTGGGATGAATTGGAACGCCGACTGCGAGCCAGGCCTAATCGCCCAACATCGGTGCCCGACCTCACTAATGTGGCTGAATGGAAGCAAGTCCCCGCAGCAATGCTCCAACATCTAGTGGAAAGCCTTCCCAGAAGAGTGGAGGCTGTTATTGCAGCAAAGGGGGGACCAACTGCATATCAATGCCCATGATTTTGGAAGGAGATGTTTGACGAGCAGGTGTCCACATACTTTTGATCATGTAGTGTATATAAACCTCTCTTCTAGACACTAGTCCAGCCTAAATAAAACAGACTAGGAATATGTCTATGGCAGAAAACCAGATCCCAGATCTGCCAACCTCTCTCTCATTCCTTCTGCTTCCTCAATTTCACGTGCCTGTACTCTCTGCACCTTCTCACACTCCCTTTCTCTTCCTGCTTGCTCTGTCTCCTTCTCTTATCCGAACCTCTACAGCACTGCTCCCTCTCTAGCTCTCGCTGTTCAAGGGAAGGAACCAGACATGGGCTTTTTAGCATCACATTTGACATCTCTTTTCCAAGAGTGATTTGATAGGACTGAAAAGAGAAAAGAAAGAATTGAGATAGGTGTGACAATGGATTAAATACAAATAAAATAAACGAATCCTACTTCTTGAAGAGGAACTCCCCGGCTGCTATGGCGACCGGTCGGTGTGCGGAGTAGACCAGGTGATAGACGCTTTCACAGTCCTCCGGGCTCAGTACTTCATCTGTACTACTGTAATACACACACACACAGTACACATTAAACACATACATTAAACACACACAAATTAAACACTGATAGCTGAACTGAAGCAACTTACTGTAGTACCAGAGTGAGCAATTTTATTGCTTGTACTGCGACATCATACTCCTTGTCCAAAGTCATGGAGACAATGCGATCCTGTGTAGAGACAAAATGAATGATAAAGATTTCTGATTTAGCTGAAATACCTCTACTCAAAATCAACAGGGCATAATAGTGGTTTAGCCAGGAAATACCTCTAGTCAAAACCGCTGGGGCCGCCCATATGAAAATGCACGAACGCACTACTGTAAGTCGCTTTGGATAAAATAGTCTGCTAAATGGTATATATGAAAGTTGAGCCTCGAGGTAACTAGTAGTGTATTGATGTGTCCACCAGGTGGCGCTCTGACCTTGAAGCGGCTGGTGAACAGTTCCAGTCTGGTGTTCAGTTCTCTGTTGTAGTAGAGACCCTGCAGCGCTGTCAGACACTTCAGACGCACCTCGCCTTGCTAAAAACACACACACACACACACGTTGGAATTACACACACTTCTAACTCAAACACAACACCTTGCTGACAACGAAGGAACACTCTCTCCCTCACCTTGTCGTGCATGGTCCAGCCTACGTATTTCAGGTAGCTGTCGTTGAGGAAGGCGTCACTGTACAGCTTCATCCACATTCCAATCTCCTCTATAGTGATAGCTCTGATCTCTGCTATGGCATCACTGCAATACAACACACAACCGTAATCATATTCTCCATACAAAGGGATAACATATCTCAAATTAAATACATCCTATCTATCTATGATCATTAACTATGATGGAAACAATGTACAGGCCACATACCGATATCGGTGTACAAACACACCCTTGAATATAGCATTCATCATGTTTTCAATTTCGTCCTGATTTTCTTGAAGCTGAAATTAGAACAAGAAATCAGTAAGAAAACATTTTGATCAGGGGTTCATCAGGCTGGACTTGATTATTCACCAAGAAAATCAGGACAACCAAACCTTACAGAAGAGATAGCTAGTATAGTTATGAAGGCATCGAGGTGTATAATTACACAGTGTAATGTTGTTCTGGTGTGGTTGTATTAGTAGTAGGAGCTGGCAGATGGAAGCCCAGTGGGACAGTGTTCTGTAAGCCAGGACACAGCCATTGATGCCAGCTCAACCACAGGGCCTAGCAGCTAGTAGTAGACCAAGCCTTTACTCTCTCTGACTGGTCATGCTCCTCCGGCATGTCTTCAAGCATCCTCATCTTCTGACTGGAAAACTCTCATGAGGCTCCTGCACCTGGGTAACGTGTCTGTGCAGAGTGTGTTTTATAAAGCAGATTCTGAGAAGCAGCGAGAGCAGTCAACCCTAAGGAAAATGTGAGCCAAACCTTAAACCAAGGGCCCAAGAAGCCTTACCCAGTTCCCCAACACCGACCCCTAACCCAGGAGGAGCCTAACCCTGACCTCTCACCTCTTTGCGTTTCTGCAGCAGTAGCTCCAGCCGGTCGTTGGCTCTCTTGGCGACCATCTTGTTTCTCTCCGTCTCGTATTGCCGCTGGGTGTTGTCCATGTTGATGCTCAGGTTCAGAGCTACATTCACCAGGGCTGTCATCAGTTTCATGGCTACACAAACACACAGTTAATCAGTGTACCTGTGTGCCCAGGGAAGAGGGAAATAACCGACTGACACAGACAGACAAATCCCCTCACCCACTCTCTCTCGCTCTCTCTCACCTGCCAGTGTGCTGGTGTGCCGGAAGGCTCGGACCTGTGAGTCGGACAGTCCGGTGAGGAGGGATATGACCGTGTCCATGAGGTACTCATCATAGATTATGCTGTACTGACACTGTCTCACCAACACAGCAATGAACTCACAGAAACTACCCTTAAACTTCTTCCACAGTGGACCTGCCATGGTCAGAGGATAGTCACCACTGTCCTACAGAGGGGAAGGAGGAGGGTGGAGAGAGAGAGAGAGAAATAACGTTTATGGGAGTTATGGGTTCACTATATTGCATGCAACTCAAAGAGAGGGTAATGACATCTAAAACTGAATCAATCAACTGGTACATTTCAGAATGATGCGCACACACACACAAAACCTACCTCGTCAAACTCCTCTGTCATCCTCCTGATGATCTCAGAGTTCTGCATGTTCCGGAACATCTCTCCACTGACCACTCCTTTACAGCCAGAACACTGGATGAAGAAGTTGATCAGGTCTAGCAGAGCCATGTCCCTGTCGTTTTTATACGCCTCAATCCAGTCATCCACCACAGACTGAAGCCAGGACAAACAAAAGCAACAGAGTTAGACAATAAATAGAACTAAAACACAGTCACTGTGGTTTAACTGTAATAAAGTTGTTCTGGTCATTAGAATGGTTGATAATCGAATAAACTATTGGCCTGTTAAATGCCCAAGCCACTTCTGTGTGTAGGCTCACATATAAACAAAGTGTTTCACACACTGGAAATGTTACATACACTATATATACACACACACAAAGGTATGTGGACACCCCTTCAAATTAGTGGATTCGGCTATTTCAGCCACGCCTGTTGCTGACAGGTGTATAAAATTGAGCACACCGCCAAGCAATCTCCATAGCCAACATTGGCAGTAGAATGGCCTTACTGAAGAGCTCAGTGACTTTCAATGTGGCTCCATCATAAGATGCCACCCTATCCAACATGAAAGTGCTAGAGCTGCCCCAGTCAACTGTAAGTGCTGTTATTGTGAAGAGGAAACGTCTTGGAGAAACAGTGGTAGGCCACACAAGCTCACAGAATGGGACCGCCGAGTGCTGAAGCACATAAAAATCGTCTGTCTTTGGTTGCTACACTCACTAGAGTTCCAAACTGCCTCTGGAAGCAACATCAGCACAATAACTGTTTGTCGGGACCTTCATGAAATGGGTTTCCATGGCCGAGCAGCCACACACAAGACTAAGATCACCATGCGCAATGTCAAGTGTCGGCTGGAGTGGTGTAAAACATTCCGCCATTGGAATGCCGAATTGCGAGCCAGGCCTAATCGCCCAACAATAGTGCCCGACCTCACTAATGCTCGTGGCTGAATGGAAGCAAGTCCACGCAGCAATGTTCCAACATCTAGTGGAAAGCCTTCCCAGAAGAGTGGAGGCTGTTATAGCAGCAAAGGGGGGGACAAACTCCATATTAATGCCCATGATTTTGGAATGAGATGTTCGACGAGCAGGTGTCCACATACTTTTGATCATGCAGTGTATACACACACACACACACACACACACACACACACACACACACACACACACACTGACCTGCATGGCACTTTTGCCCATCTTGACGACCTCGAACAGCATCAGGTTCTCCATGCCATTCTCCTGGTAGTGGCCGTTCATCCTCCCTGCTCCACCCGCTCCCTTCCCTCCTTTACCCTTCTTTCCCTTCTTCCCCCCCTGGGACGGAGAGAAAGAGACAAGTCAATAATGGTGTAAACAGCATCATGTTTACTAATATGGCTTGGTGCGTATACAGTAGCTTGAGGATGAGGTGAATATTATGTTGTGGTGTGTATTGATGGGTTGCATGTTTTGTCACAATATTTTTTTTAAAAGTTTGTTTTGAACTGATGCCCGACTGAGCATTCTACTCAAAGCATCGTCAAAGACCACTGATGAAGATTTAATCAAAAGTGCATTACAGTGGCTTGGAAATAAACTCAGCAAAAAAAAGAAACGTCCTCTCACGTTCAAGTTCCACAGACATGTGACTAACAGAAATTGAATAATGTGTCCCTGAAAAAAAAAAAAAAGGGGGGGGGGGGGGGGGGGGGGGTCAAAATCAAAAGTAACAGTCAGCATCTGGTGTAGCCACCAGCTGCAATCTCCTCATGGACCGCACCAGATTTGCCAGTTCTTGCTGTGAGATGTTACCCCACTCTTCCACCAAGGCACCTGCAAGTTCCCAAAACTGTATGCACGCATGACTGTAAGTCGCTTTGGATAAAAGCGTCCGCTAAATGGCATATTATTATTATTATTCCCAGACATTTCTGGGGGGAATGGCCCTAGCCCTCACCCTCCGATCCATGAGGGAGGAGGATGTCTTCCCTGTAACGCACAGCGTTGAGATTGCCTGCAATGAAAACAAGCTCAGTCGGATGATGCTGTGACACACTGCCCCAGACCATGACGGACCCTCCACCTCCAAATCGATCCCGCTCCAGAGTACAGGCCTCGGTGTAACGCTCATTCCTTCGACGAATCCGACCACCACCCCTGGTGAGACAAAACCGCAACTCGTCAGTGAAAAGCACTTTTTGCCAGTCCTGTCTGGTCCAGCGACGGTGGGTTTGTGCCCATAGGCGACGTTGTTGCCGGTGATGTCTGGTGAGGACCTGCCTTACAACAGGCCTACAAGCCCTCAGTCCAGCCTCTCTCAACCTATTGCGGACAGTCTGAGCACTGATGGAGGGATTGTGCGTTCCTGGTGTAACTCGGGCAGTTGTTGTTTCCATCTTGTACCTGTCCCGCAGGTGTGATGTTCGGATGTACCGATCCTGTGCAGGTGTTGTTACAGGTGGTCTGCCACTGCGAGGACGATCAGCTGTCCGTTCTGTCTCCCTGTAGCGCTGTCTTAGGCGTCTCACAGTACGGACATTGCAATTTATTGCCCTGGCCACATCTGCAGTCCTCATGCCTCCTTGCAGCATGCCTAAGGCACGTTCACACAGTTGGGCAGGGACCCTGGGCATCTTTCTTTTGGTGTTTTTCAGTCAGTAGAAAGGCCTCTTTAGTGTCTTAAGTTTTCATAACTGTGACCTCAATTGCCTACCGTCTGTAAGCTGTTAAGTGTCTTAACGACCGTTCCACAGGTGCATGTTCATTAATTGCTTATGGTTCATTGAACAAGCATGGGAAACAGTGTTTAAACCCTTCACAATGAAGATCTGTGAAGTTACTTGGATTTTTACAAATTATCTTTGAAAGACAGGATCCTGAAAAAGGGACGTTTATTTTTTTGCTGAGTTTATAATGACATTCAAAAAGTGGCAAATAATTAGTAGGAAAACCTTTTGATGTCACCAGATTTACTTTAAAGATGTAGTATAACGTTAGCTAGCTAGCTAACATTGAGTGGAGGCCAACGGATTTGAGCTCGCTAACGTTAGCATTGCTAGCCATTTTTGACTAGCTTTGCTAGCTAATGACAAAATTGCCATCTCTCTAAATACATTTGATGACATGATAATGCTGGCAAAGTTCTTTCCTACTATATATTTGACTACTTTACCAATGTCATCGTATTTCCAGGCACTATAGTTTAATTTAGACTAAACAGTAGTTAGCTTCCATCCAGAATGACTGGGCGTATCACCATTTTAGGGCACAGCCAATAGAGGGCGGCTTGAGAACGTTCATAACAACGGCATGACGAGACCGAGTGACAGAGATGCAACCTATGAATAGCTTGAGGAAGAGGTTATAATGTCGAGGTGTATAGCTCGAGGAAGAGGTTATAATGTCGAGGTTATAATATTATGTTGAGGTGTATAGCTCGAGGAAGAGGTTATAATATTATGTTGAGGTACAGTTGAAGTCGGAAGTTTACATGCACCTTCGCCAAATACATTTAAACCCAGTTTTTCACAATTCCTGACATTTAATCATAGTAAAAATGCCCTGTTTTAGGTCAGTTAGGATCGCCTCTTTATTTTAAGAATGTGAAATGTTAGAATAATAGTAGAGAGAATGATTTATTTCAACTTTTATTTATTTCTTCACATTCCCAGTGGGTCAGAAGTTTACATAGTATTTCAATTAGTATTTGGTAGCATTGCCTTTAAATTGTTGAACTTGGGTCAAATGTTTTGGGTAGCCTTTCACAAGCTTCCCACAATAAGTTGGGTGAATTTTGGCCATTCCTCCTGACAGAGCTGATGTAACTGAGTCAGGTTTGTAGGCCTCCTTGTTCACACACACATTTTCAGTTCTGCCCACACATTTTCTATAGGATTGAGGTCAGGGCTTTGTGATGGCCACTCCAATTGACTTTGTTGTCCTTAAGCCATTTCGCCACAACTTTGGAAGTATGCTTGGGGTCATTGTCCATTTGGAAGACCCATTTGCGACCAAGCTTTAACTTCCTGACTGATGTCTTGAGATGTTGCTTCAATATATCCACATCATTTTCCTTCCTCATGATGTCATCTATTTTGTGAAGTGCACCAGTCCCTCCTGCAGCAAAGCACCCCCACAGCATGATGCTGCCACCCCCGTGCTTCACGGTTGGGATGGTGTTATTCGGGTTGTAAGCCCCCCCCCCTTTCCTCCAAACATAACGATGGTCATTATGGCCAAACAGTTCTATTTTTGTTTCATCAGACCGGAGGACATTTCTCCAAAAAGTACAATCTTTGTCCCCATATTCAGTTTTAAACCGTAGTCTGGCTTTTTTATGGCAGTCTTTGAGCAGTGGATTCTTCCTTGCTGAGCGGCCTTTCAGGTTATGTCGATATAGGACTCGCTTTACTGTGGATATAGATACTTTTGTACCCGTTTCCTCCAGCATCTTCACAAGGTCCTTTGCTGTTGTTCTGGGATTGATTTGCACTTTTCGCACCAAAGTACATTCATCTCTAGGAGACAGAACGCGTCTCCTTCCTGAGCAGTATGACGGCTGAGTGGTCCAATGGTGTTTATACTCGCATACTATTGTTTGTACAGATGAACGTGGTACCTTCAGGCATTTGGAAATTGCTCCCAAGGATGAACCAGACCTGTGGAGGTCTACAATTTATGTTCTGAGGTCTTGGCTGATTTCTTTTGATTTTCCCATGATGTCAAGCAAAGAGGCACTGAGTATAAAGGTAGGCCTTGAAATACATCCACAGGTACACCTCCAATTGACTCAAATGATGTCAATTAGCCTATCAGAAGCTTCTAAAGCCATGACATCATTTTCTTGAATTTTCCAAGCTGTTTAAAGAAACAGTGGAACTTCTGACCCACTGGAATTGTGATACAGTGAATTAGAAGTGAAATAATCTGTCTGTAAACAATTGTTGGAAAAATTAAGTGTGTCATGCACAAAGTAGGTGTCCTAACCGACTTACCAAAACTATAATTTGTTAACAAGACATTTGTGAAGTGGTTGAAAAACAAGTTATGACTCTAACCTAAGTGCATGTAAACTTCCGACTTCAACTGTATATAGCTTGAGGAAGAGGTTATAATATTATGTTGAGGTATATAGCTTGAGGAAGAGGTTATAATATGTTGTGGTGTATAGCTTGAGGAAGAGGAGGCCTGGTCGTACCTTTCCTTTGGTTGGGTTGATACTGACATCAGGAGCCTCAGAGAAGTCTGTGTCTGAGGAGAAACGGGTGTCTGAATCCCTGGCAAAAATACCCACACATTAGAAACAGTCTGCTGCATGCCGGTTGACACACACACACACACACACACAATGGAAGTAGCCACTTACTGAGGATAGTGGAACTCCGACGGTAACTCTGGTGCCGCTATCATTTCTCTAACATGTCTGATCCAACTCAAATAAGAACAGACTTCAGATCCTCAGTGTCCACAAGGCAGTGGAACGGTAGCATAGGACTTGGAGGAGAAAACAGAAGGGGAAGAGAATGCATGGGTATTGGGGTTACATTCTGAGAAGACAGGAGAGAGAGGAGTTGTATGATAACCTGCTGCTGAACTTCTACAACATAAACACTGCATTACCCTGAACAGGCCTCAGTATCAGCCAGCGGCTCTTCACAACAACAACAAAAATAACACAGTACTGCTTTCACATGGTAACAGGGGGCGGGCTCTATCCCTCCTGTCATGCACAACTGTGAGCTCATTGGTTGTCTCGCTCCTTGGGTTACAGGAAACGTCAGCCCAGGGCTGGACATTGGAACGTCCCCCCATGACCATATAAAGGAGTGTCCAATTCATCCTCTGCTAGAGATCCTAACCAATCAGAACGAAGTATTAACACTCGTGGACATATACAAGGCAAACAGCAGAGAGCAGAGAGAGTGGGATACTCAACCAAATTATGACATTAAAAACAAAGAAATATTATCTAATAGTTTGTATATAAAAACTAAAAAAATGGCATCAACAACATTGTCAATACTAGTATGTCGTCAGGACAGGTGTTGCACTACAGGACGCTAAAGTGAGCCTAGCAGCGACCCTATCCTGGGTGTGCCTTAATGACGGTCGGGTCATTCGGTACTATGAAGGATTACAGTAGAGGTGTGTCAATCAGAAAATGAATTGTAACGACCAACGAGAAATGAATTGCACGTGACTGTACAATAAAACTGCTCGTGTCTGTATGTAACCGGTTTGTGCTTTTTTGCTGGATTGCAGGTTGTAAAACGTTTTTTTGGGGGGGGGAGAAGTGGGGCATCTTTACCCTGATTAACCAGTGAGAATCAGAAGTAAGGAATGGGAAATAGGTGGATTCAAACTCAACTTTAAAATGCTAGCTAGCTAAGAACTTTATCCCATGGTCTCGAATTAGAACGCGTGACTTCCAATACACATTCGACAATTCCAATGGACATTCGACTTATTTCATTGATAGCTAAATTCATACATAATGCGTTTGAAATGGGGTCAACTACAGCTACATGCTAGCAGTGTATTGTACAATAATACAATACAACTGTATTGCAAACCAATAAAATAGCATTAGCTAGCAACATACTGTTTCTTATATTGCACAAGCGGAGACACTCGCGAGACAGTATTCTGGTTGACTAGACGCGAAGACTTGACGATGGGGACTGAAAAAGTGGCGCCAAACTCGGGTGCCTGGGCAACACAAAGCGCGTTAAAAACTATATTAGCGATAGCTGCCAACGTCGAAATAACCGACGGAGAGCATCCTTAACTATGCTAGCTACCGTTGGCTAGGTAGTGTGACAGCCGCTCTTGGGCTTGGTCAGTGACGGCCACTGTCAAGAATTGACACCGGTATTCTGGCGAGAGGTTGCCCGGATTGGCTTGCCAAAGAGCTAGCCAGCTAACGAAGCTAGCTAGCTAAACATGAGCTGTCATCAGAACGTCACCCTTTACGTACATGAAAATAACAACTTGTCTTCTGTGGCTAACGTTAATCCAAGAGTTAAAATGGTATCCTTCAAGTAACGGTAGTAACCACTTTTCTGTAAACTAACTAGTTACAGTACAAACAAGGCAAAAACACTCGGGAAAATCTCAATCTTGACTGGGCAGCTAACAAACGTTAGTTTAGCATAGCTGCAGCTTAGCTACCATTCTCCATCTTGTTAAGTTAGCTAGCTAGTTTCCTGGCTAGTTAGCTAACTAGCCATGTTAACGTTAGCTCTAGCCCGTTAGCTGCAATCGAACGGAGTTCGGATAGCCAGCCATCTTCTCAATAAAACAGTTGCTATTTAGCTAGCTAGCTAATACAGTGTGGCCCTCAAAGTCCGTGTAAAATCTAAATTAGCTTGTTTATGCAACACACTTGTTGTGGAGCAACAATACAACCATTTAGTTACATAAAAACACCTCGTCCTTACGTCCTCCATCTTGCTTCGGGAGTTCCGATACGTTACCTACCGTTAACTCCCCAGCGGAAAAACATTTATTGTATGTAAAACACTTTTATATATTAGCCTAGTTAACTAACTAGCTACGTTTTAGTGAAATTGGTCTCCCTTCCGGTATGCGTAACACAGATTCACGATAAACTAGACAAAAAGTAGCCTACACAGCGCCAGCGGCTAGCTTACGACTTTCCGTAGCTAGCAGCCTCCGCACTTCTAGCCTATGTTAGCTAGCTAGCTACCAACAAAATTGCTACAAACCAACTAACTTCGAGATTCCATTCCGCCATTTTATAACTTACCCCGTTATTGAATTTATTTCCAAACGAGTCACTACTTTGTTGAGTCGTTGTCTGTTCTTGTATTGATATTACCACGATTTCCGCAAATGAGTTTGAAACTGGCGGTCAGAGGCGGTTTTGGACGCTCTCTCACCCCGCCACTTGCTCCGTAGTAGGGTTTGTTGTTTCGACGATGAGGGGGGAGGAAAACTCTTGGTGCACAGCTGCCCTCTAGCGGCCAGATGAAATACATCCGATGCCCCGTGACCGTGAGTGATCTGACATCTAGCGGTTATTTACAAGGTGTGCAGCTGCCAGCAAGTACGTGACAGATGGCTCGGATGGCCCTCTCGACTGAGGTGAATAAATAAGCTACGCTAGCTAGTAGCTACCACAGCCAGGTCAGCTCTAGCCTCTAGTTATCTGTCAGATAGCAATATGAGGTGGCTATTATTACTATCCAGTGGCGACCCGTCATTCAGTGCGGGTGGGGCAGAGCCCCACCTGTTTTGAGCCCCACATTTTTGGCAAAAAAATAAATATAATCTATTTATTTATTTTGGGTGGGGGGGTTGCCTGGTTTGCATGTTATTTTGGCATTAATACGTGTCACTTATAAGTTTGCAAACAATGTTAAAATAAAATACATTATTGAGTTAATAAAGCCACATACAAACATGACCTCTTTTTTGCTTTCTTCAGTAATCAGCTCCAAAATGCAGGTGTTTTAGCCTAGCTCAGTGCTTTCTGTGGTGGTGGGGCAGCCAGTGGAAAATACGGAGCGTAGGGGTTGGTAATGTTCTCTAGTTGACCCGTGATTGGCTCAGTGTTCTGTCACTTATGGGGACACTACATCACTGCCAAATCTAAGGTTAGAGCTAGAAAATTCAAGCCCCTTGGGTGCTGCCATAGAGTTACATTAGAAGTGCCCTTCCAAAAAGGCTCAAGGTCATTGGCCACAGATAAAATTATGTCAAATCACGTTATATCTACAATAGCTTTGATTGGACTGGTCATGTCAACATCATACTTTCAAAATCTTAGCTAGCAGTCATCATTTACATTTTTACATTTTACAAGTCGACAATCTACTGGCAAATCCTTTTTAATCCTTGTCATATGAAGAGAAATAATGAAGAGAAATTATAGATAAAACGTATCGGTGCTCATCGGCCATTGGACATAAACATTACACAACAAGTTGGAAATCGCAAATTCAACAGTGAGTGGTTTGCAAAGCAATCACTAGCCTGCTATTTAGTGGAGTTGGTGTGTGGTCCCAATTCTGCGTTTAAGGGTCTCTTTTCCAAACTTACAATGATAAACATTCAACATTGGCCTTGTTGTCAATCCAGCATGATTTATTCCGCACTCAAAACAACTCTTAACATGGAACTGGGAAATCTGACTTCAATGAGTTCAAGACAACTGGAAACTCTGGAAAAAACGAGCTCCAACTGAGAAAATAAGTTTCAAACTGTCATTGTTTTTTTCCGAGTTCCCAGTTGTCTTGAAAGCACCATAAATACAGAGAATGCCAGACTTTGATGACAAACGTTTGATGATAAAATGTGCCCATGAAGGACTGCCCCCCACCTTCCTGTTCAATTGAGCACAGCACAAGAAGGCAGTGTTGCCAACTCCTCAGTAAGGATAGTAGCTATTGGCTGTCCTAAAAGTCGCTAAATTACGTCATCACCTAATTTGCATAATTGGCCATGTGCATGTAATTGTGATGGAAGCTGTAGGAGAGAGGAATAACGTCGTGGGAGAGACAAAAAGTGAGTAAAAAACACCCTACATTTACATCCCGCCCTGGCTTACATTCAGGGCGGGATGTTAATGTAGTGTGTTTTTTACTCACTTTTTGTCAGCCAGTGGCGGCTTCCCGCATGCGCGATTCATTTGCAGTCTGGACGCGGGAGGGGTGAACATCTCCTGCTCTGACTGCAGCTGGGAGGGACTGCTGCGCGAAGACTGGGCCGCCTGTGAGTGCTTTGGGACGGGACGGGACGGGACGGGACGGGACGGGACGGGACGGGGGTGGGGTGGGGCCCGCTGCTCGTTGAGAAGAGTAAGAACGATACGTGCTTTCACTTCAGAGATCTCCAAAAGTCACTAGATTAGTTGCTAATCGCTTTTTTGAAAATGTGTCGCTAGAGCGGTCTGAACACTCACAAAGTCGCTAAGTTGGCAACACTGCAACAAGGTGAGTCCAAAAATGTATTGTACGCTGCTGCATAAATTATGTAATATGCGAGGGAGATATGTATACTGTAGCTAAGAAAGTAATACTAAGTGTATGTTGTGTAGTAAGCTGTTAGTATTGTTTAGTGTTGTGTAGTGGCTTTGCTGGCATGCATCCCCAACATTTGTTTGTTTGTTTGCCCCACCAACATTTACATGCTAAAATCGCCACTGTTACTATCTAACAGCTGTTGTTTGTATGGAAATGTTTTGTAGCCTTTGTTTTGTCCCGTTTCAGAAGTAAATTAAATTGGCTAGCTTTCGCCAGTTGATGTACTGTTAGCCAGTTGATGTACTGTTAGAAAGAGAGCTGGCCAAAAGTTGGCTAACTTTAGCTATTATTTTTGCCTCAATCACACTAGACCTGACTCGAACGATGAAACCAGATGGCAAAATGATTGAAGATTGATATTCT